CAGACTTCCCTCTCCCCAGCCACTTCTTCCAGCTCTTCAGGAGGAACCCCAGGCCAGCCGAGAAACATAGTCTCTCCAGCGTGTCCTGGGTCTTCCCCGGGGCCTCCCCCCGGTGGGACGTGCCCGGAACACCTCACCAGGGAGGCGTCCAGGAGGCATCCTAACCAGATGCCCGAGCCAGCTCAACTGGCTCCTCTCGACGTGGAGGAGCAGTGGCTCTACTCCGAGTCCCATCCAGGTGGATGGAGCTTCTCACCCTATCTCTAAGGCAGAGCCCAACCCATTTCGGCCGCTTGTATCCGCGATCTTGTTCTTTCGGTCACGACCCGGAGTTCATGACCATAGATGAGGGTAGGGATGGGGACCATAGATGATCCCCATCCCGGCCGCTTCACACTCGGCTGCGAACCGATCCAGCGAGAGCTGCGGATCATGACCTGATGAAGCCAATAGGACCACATCATCTGCAAAAAGCAGAGATGCAATCCTAAGGCCACCAAACGGATCCCCTCAACACCTTGGCTGCACCTAGAAATTCTGTCCATGAAGGTAATGAACAGAATCGGTGACAAAGGGAAGCCCTGGCGGAGTCCAACTCTCACCGGAAACGAGCCCGACTTACTAACGGCAATGCGGACCAGACTCTGACACCGGTCATACAGGGACCTGACAGCCCGTATCAAAGGGCCCGGCACCCCGTACTCCCGGAGAACCCCCCACAGGGCTCCCCAAGGGACACAGTCGAACGCCTTCTCCAAGTCCACAAAGCACATGTAGACTGGTTGGGCGAACTCCCATGCACCCTCCAGGACCCTGCTGAGGGTGTACAGCTGGTCCAGCGTTGACATTGACATCTCTTTCAATAAAATCCATTTGACTTTCACTGTCTCAGACTTGGGGTTTAGTGACTCAGCTAACTGATACTAAATCCATATCTCTTTTTTTTCACCATTCTTTTGAAAGAGATAATGTGGTATTTCCACTTCTTATAGAGTCATTGAAAATCTTTGGTGTAATCATTTCACTTTACTTCTTGTAAGGATTTCGCTTTCTCAGTGAGCATACACGTATGCTGACTTCTTAATTTTTCTGACTGCGCTTTCTGTAGATACAGAGGGCTTTTCAGTATCTTACACTTGTTAGTCATCATCATGTACATTAAACTTCATTCTGCTGGTGGTTACTTTCATCTGCCATGGCATCTTGATTGTTCCTTTAATTCTATGCATCTACTTATTTATTTCTATTCCTCAGATGCACATTACCGTTGTTGTTTTTTTTAAGATGTGACTTTTGGCCTTGCATGTAATTGTAGCTTAACAGTAATTTATAAGCACCCTGGGTACTTCCAAGTCAGTTTAAATATTTCCTTGTTTAGCTTCTTACCTTATAGACTTAATCATGTCCTCAAAATAAACGGTACTTCCCTTCGCACATGTGTAGCATCTTTTGTTAGAAGGGTTGATTTCAAGGGTCTTGATGCCTTCTCCAGGGCAGTGTAGTGTTCTACTATGCCGGATTACCCAATCAAGAAAGAAACCAGAGTTCCTTTAACCCATGTAACTGTGGTCTTGTATAAAGCATAAACACAATATTGGTTTACTTGCTGCAACTTATAGAAAATACAAAATTTAAGAAGCTAAAATAATAAATAAAAATAAAGTTTGTCCACTAGCAGCCCTGTTAGTGGACAAACCATTAACTTTGAAAACACTTGTCTTTCTTCTCAATTGGTCTTGTAGAGTCTGTTTTCATCACTTATTGCCTAGCATGCCTATACAGGCTTTCATATGTCTTGCACTTAGGAGAGGCTTCCGTTGGGCCACTCTGCCACAAAGCCCCGACTGGTGGAGGGCTACAGTGAAACTTGACTTTGTGGAACTTTTCCTATCTCCCTACTACAGCTCTGGAGCTTAGTCACAGTTTTCTTTGGATTCTTCCTTGATGCCCAATTTGCCCTTTTTTGGTTCATTCTGTGCATGTATCTATGTGTATGCATGTGGGCATGCCCAAAACTGCCACTTGGTGCTTAATATTTGAACTGGCAACAAAGGCTTAAAGGGGTTAGTTGGGTTCGCCTTACATTGGCATATATCACCTTACCAGCTGTGCTGCTGCCATTAACACCTTTGTTTATAGAAGGTGGTGCTTGGCCTGTTTTTTAATATAGTCCTGTTTCTCTGACTATGACTAACTGTACGTGCTCTGTTCATCCTCTGACATGGGAGCTGGCTCCAAGTTTGTCTACCTGGCTGTGTGTTTCCTGGACAGGGCCGCTGGTGGAGCTACATGAAAGTTGCCTTTTATATCTTTGCTTCTTTTTGTGTGTGTGTTTCTATGTCCTTGAACCTTAGTTGGCCTCGGTAGATGGCCGCTCACACTGAGCCTGGTTCTGGATGTTAAAAGAGAGTTTTCCTCTCCACTGTCGCTACAAGCATGATTTGTGTAAGGGATTGCTTAAGAGTCAATGAGACGATGCAAACAGGTGGTTTATATATATATATATATATATATATATATATATATATATATA